GCGTTTGATATTTTTAACAAATGATCTTATTTCCCGCCCATATACGACACGGAGACGCAAAGGACCTGATGTCTGATGCCTGATGTCTAAAATCGAGTAAAGAGATCACATTTATAAAGCACCAAGTAAAGCAATGTTTGATTATCCAAAATGGAAGTGATTTGAATGGATTTAGTCGTAAAATTCATTATTGCTGGGAACTTGGGGAAGAGGGTGGAGGTAACAATTGTTGAACTGAATTAGGGATTTCATCTCTGAATTTCATTTAGCCCCGTTAATTGCAAGCACTACATCAGAACACCAAATAGAAATGCCTGTTTTAGGCAAACGATATATCGTGAAATGAAGTTTTGGGGCAATCTGTACTATGAAAGTTAGCGAGGACTTTGCCACCCATGTTACACCCAAGCCGTTTCTGAGGCACAGGAGTATACAGATCAGTCCGCAGGAGCATCAAGAAAGGGGGTGATGTCATTGAGTAGCGTGAGTAAACTAAAAGCATCAACCCTGTAGGTGTGAGTGAGTTAGAACTAAGCTTTTGTACAGTTTAGTCTCACAATGTTGAGTAAAAAGAAAGGTTCCAGTTAGTCCAATTGCGCTTGTGCATTCATTAGTCTAAACTTGTCTTATTTCATTTTTTCCTCCTGAGTACTTCACTTGACGTTCATTCTGGCTTGGGAGACTCCGATTCAGATTGATTGCCTACTTAATGAACTGCTGCAAGTGACAAACTGGAGAATAATATGTCTCGAGTTGGACAGCAAAGTAGGAAGTCGAGGGAACAACGGACAATAATGGCGCTTCACACACCATGTACCCGAATGATGAGTCGAATCCACTGCAGAACAAGCTCGACCGGGCACATCCTGGGGCGAGCCAAACGAACCACTTAACCTTGTTGCTAGACTTCACATAATTCAAAAACAGATAGGAATACGACTAGCGATAACCAGAATCTTGGCGCACCATGAACCGTTCTAATGGGTGACTCTGTTAATGTTGAGCGCTTTTGTTTTCGTTTGTAAAAGTATGCTGTTAGTGGCAAACTTCTTAAGTACTCGACAGATTTTCGTAAACATTTCGTTACTTCTGGATTACGTGTTGTACAGGACCTCAGCCATTCATACAAGTATTCCCTCCAATTAAGTACACTGGCTATTTTCTGCGTGGAGGGGTGAAACGAGAATTTACCAAACCATATGTGCTACTCACCCTCCTTTGTAAGTTCCACTGGGCCTATTTTGCATGGGAGTCAAACAAGATGCAGGCAAAAGTACAGCGAACCACACCAACTATTCCAGAATTCAACTCATCTAGCTTGGTTTACGTATTCGTGACATACGCAACCGCCAAATGGTTAATTCGATTGATAAGCGTTTTGTTAGCAAACTTTAGCTAATTTACAGTCACCCAGGGGAACATCAGTGGAGCAAGGCATTTTCAAATACACACAGTAGTTCTGTCATTTTTTTACTGATTTCTTACTAAGCTGAAACAAACTGCAACAAAGAAATCGAACTAATTTTAATAATTTCAGAGCTGCTGATATCTCTGAGAAAGTACAGAAAGCAATGTTGTCATTATGATCCGTCTTTTTTTCACATCTGAACTTCGTCTGAGAAAAGGACGGGCGGTAAAAGTTTTGGAAACTTTGATGTATCACGTCAAACGGCTTTCCAAGACAATTTTCCAAAACCTGGAAAAATGGTCTCTTGGAGCCTGAGCAAAAGACTGCTGTCTGTCAGCGTAACAAAAATGAAATCTACTATTTTCCAAAATCGAAAGTGATTTCGATCGAGCTTCCTTTCCTTTCAACATCTTCGAAAGTGATTTCGATCGAGCTTCCTTTCGGTTGCAAAGGATAGCGTTTCATCTCGCTGTTATATGTAATTTTGTAAATAATTCATATGTATTCTTTTTAGGACCTCTGAAACGGGAATCTTATTCCGAGAAGTGTGCAGCCTATATTTCCAGCAAACGAAATGGTGTAACTCGGTTAAACTAATCATGCACTTATCGTTCGGAAAAAAAGGTAGAGCAATTAATATGTCCGAAACCTAATCGGATGTAGCTCTGAACATGGCACCCCGGTCTCAATTCTCCATAAACTAGTTATAGTGACACTAATCGTAGCCTTCTATTAGTGAGGAGCCAACCTAATGCATCGGTTTGATATGATCATGCAGAGTAAAAACAAATAATTCAAGAAAATGTTTGTCAAAACATTTTGCAATAAGTTCTGCTTGCATGCGGTTTGTGGGAATTCACTGCAACTGCTTGGGCAGATGAGTGCGACAGAACCAGTCTATTGTATTTTTTGCTCATGCACTTTACTGGCCAATATACCTCTCAACAACGCTTATTCATGATCAGCGCTGCGTTATCGTTTTTCTAAGCGCCAGGGATGACAGTTTCGGTTGATCATCCATAAACATTTCAAACTTGATTTTACGACTGGCTGAGAATGTATGTACACACATGCATGCGACTTCCCAAAAGCGCTAATTTTTCCCTAAGTAAACTTTTCTCCAAAGAGGGGGTTTCTCATCTGAGACCACATGATTTCGGCTCTGAGATTAAGTTTGAAATTGTTGGCCTTGAGGAGATTACTCTCCTCACGTCAACGAAGATCACTTTCAAAGTTCCTTTGGCTTAAAGTATTATCAAAACATATTACGGATTACGAAACTTGTTTCCTGCAGTTTTCTAAAGATTTACTCCACGTAGGCACCCAAAAAGTGTGATGGATAAAAAATCGCTTCTTCTAATTGATCAGTAGACTAGTGCATGAGTTGCCTGTGGATAGTACAAGACCACTACGATTCATCCATCTTTAAGAGCAACCCTTTGAACAAGACTACTCGTAAGATCACTCGAGTTTTATATAAATTTAATTTTTTCTCTGATAGACCAAGGTTAGAGAGAAATCACTTTTGATTGGTAAATGTAAGAGATATTTCGAAAGAAAGGATTAGAATTGCATCTACTTTTCGTGGACCACTGCAAAAGGCCTATCTTCACGAAATACCACAGTCAACTTCTCTTAAAATATCACTTAAAACTAAACGAGAGATCTCTTCTATTAATTGGTTTGTTCAATATAGGAGTTTATATCAGTAGCTCGTTTGGCGGGCAAAGTAAAATGGCTTCCCGGAAGTAGGCAGATAAAACAAGCAATCGTAACATTGGATTACGGAGAAGTAGAACGTTACCCTGTGAGAAAACATTATTTATATGAGCGTCCTAATTCGCAAACTAATCAATGTTCTTGTATAGATATAAAACAGTTATAGAGTTTTCTTTGTGAAACTATCCCCCACGTGTAGCAGAGCAAATGTGTTGGGCATATGTTTGGACGCGAACGTTTTTTCAGCTGGTGGTGGCTAGCTTAATTTAGCTTTCTAACTTCTGTCATACTGAGAGTTTCTGAGATGTATTTTGTTGCTAGCAGTTTGACCATATTTCTTTTCCGCTCCATGAAGCAAGTCTGCCCCAAACTGACAAATTAGACTGTTACCCATAGACAGTTCTTGTTTGGTGGAGCACATTATTTTATATATACTCCTAGTGGATATCAAATACTTGTGAAAACTCCGAGAATTCTGATAACTCAAATTATTTTATTATCGAGGTTGCAACGGCGATAGGTTTTTGGGTCCACCACGGAGCCAAATATGTATGTGGTGATTATTATTCTCAGATGTTTGCTTTCTCAGAGCAACTTTGGCCAACTTGAGTTGTAAGCTTGTCGGTCTTTTTGATAATCATTCTCTGCTCCAAGGTTCAGCTGATTATTCTGAATGTCGTCATTATTGTTGCTCAAGTCAGTGGGTTGTCCTACGAAATCCTACTGTTAAGTATTCATGAAACTTTAGGTGATTATGCATTCATCAACCCTGGTTACATCGTCCACCCCATAAACAAGATTACCTTCTAGGAAATGTACGCCTAGGTATTAAATTATGAAACTGAAAGAAAACAAGTTAAATAAGAGGCAATCAAACAAGCGCTCCTGAAATAGAGTAAAATCCTGTACCATTTTTTCTCCTAGTGGAACGTGGCATCTCCTTCGCTTCTTCTGAAGTTTGCTCAAATTAGTCGCACGGGTGTCCAATCAGACGCATATTGCTTGTATTTGCAACGTTCCTTAATCGATTGTAACATTTTCTGAGGCGAAAAATGCTCACGACTTTTGTGAGAAATATCGTGATGCAGCTGGATGTCGGATGAATAAAATTTTCCCCGCGCTGTACTTGGTATACTATGATGAATTGCTTCAGGTTAGGTATTCACTTCAGTTGGAATAACCTGAAACGAGGGCCCTATATTAATTGGTTTTCAGAATGAAAATAGTCCGACTTCAATGTGAAGGTTCATCGCGAAATATTCTTATGATGGAAGTCACAAAACTGGAAACTCGCCAGTTTGAAAATTGGAAAAATGATGACCCCATGGGCAACACCAGCAGCAGTTTGAACAATCGTCAAACCTCCAAGATGACCAACTATATTGTATGTTGTATGATGGCCGTTTCAAACAACCCCGCGAGTATTTCTGGGTACGGAAACCTGGCCCCGAACTTTTGATCAATATTGTCACTTAAAGTAGTAGTTCATGCGTTAGCAGACTCTAAATAAATCCTCACCAAGTCGATATGAACAGATAAAGACAAGCATGTTTATCCATCACATACTTGAATGCCAATAAGAACGTTTATCATCTGTTGTGTTGTAAATGAAGGATAATATACTGAGGAAAAAACACACTGATCTCTTCTTTGGGCGGAAGGAATCGATTCAATCTGAATCTCACGTTAAGGATTTCGTCCAAAGTCACGGTATATCTACGAAGTAGCCACACTTCCTTTTTATCTGTTGTGGGCTGTTTCATTTACGGCGTCTCTCATTAAAAAGCTCATGTTTGGTCGTTTAGTAACGAGAAGTTTCTATTCGGAGTTGACATTTTGTCCAATCAGCAAAGTAACTTTCTTTGAAACTCACCAACCTCCAAAAATTTCCTAATGAGACGAATGCAGTTGAGTCCGATGTCCACTTCCTTGAACCGTATTCGTTCTAGATAAAATAGCATGTTCGACCTCTATTTAGCCTGGATCAAACCAGTTTATTTCCTCTGCGCGCACGAATTTAATGGATCGATTACAGGAGAATTTTTAACCCACCGAAACAAACCGCTACTTTACTTAGGGTGACCGTCTAAATGTCCAGATGGACCCTCTACACATGAGACTTCTGCAATATGTTTTGTTGTCATGATCCCAGCGATTTGCCAAGCTAGTGAATGGTTGTCTCGGGTGCCACAACGCGTTGGAATCACACGATTTAGTCCACAAATCGAATAAAACTTTAGTCTGCTTATGGCTTACGGCATAACGATTTCATGAAATATCTCCATAGACAGAATCATCACAGGCTCAAATTGATGCTGTCAAATCAATAGATGCTGAGGTGAGGGAAATGGATGAACGTGCTTAGGACTAGTTTGTTGTAACCTAGAGTGGTAATTAAATCTGCCTTCTTGAGTAACAAGTTTGTGTACAATTTCTATGATGGGGGAGATGTGGATTTGTCCAGTAGACTGTGATATAATAACCACTCCATGAGAACCAACGATTCCGGGGTAATAGAGTGAACACCGATGCTTTTGTACAGTCCATTGATTGGTAGTCACATGTCATCCGTCCTAATAAACTTCAAGGAATGGTGAAATGTAGGGGATACTGGAGTTCCAAGTCATCGAATTGCAAACGTTGTAACCGAAACTGCGTCGAACTGCATATGAAGTCTCGTTTTTTACCTCAAGCGATGAAGAGCATATTAACTGCTAAAGCCTAATCTGCAACCAGACGAGAATGAAGTTTCCATCATCTACTCCCATTTCAGTGGTTTTGGCAAGTTTTTTTTCACATTGTTACCTTTTTCAACATTTACAAGACTCATGTTTATGCTCCCACAATGATTTCTGTCAATGAAGAGAAATGACGTCATATCAAAATGCTGGACATTCATTTTTTGGATATCTCGAGTTTCTGTCAGAACACAACACGGATTTTATCCGGTTATCATAGGACAACCAGAATTTCATAACACGAAGGAGACCTTGCATTGTTTTTGAGTTTCAAAAGAAAGTTTATTTTGTAGGAACTCTGTTATGAGTTAAGTCATCCATACGGCGCCATGTTTATGGAATACACATGCAGCTAACCTAGTTTTCTTTTTCTGAGCTCGTTCTTTATGCAACGAAATTGTTCTGTGATCTCATGGATATGCATCCGTGAGTTCCTAATTAACATTCATTTTGTGTTCGGAGAGCATTTGCTGGTCAATGTTTGAAAAATAAACCATCCGACCACGACCGAATAAACAGCAGAACATGGCAAAACTCATGGCTCATTCACAAAAGCCACATCAAGCGATCACGTGTTGATTTACTTTGTCAGCGATGACTTTTCACCCATCTAGAATTATTTTCCCCCTGAGTCACATATAGCCTGAGGTAAGTGGGCGATTTACTCAGCGAGGACTACGTCACGCTGTCTACTTTTGCAGCCTAGCTATGGGCAAGTTCGCGGTAAACGTCCGAATAAAAACTGCTACATAGAATGGTTACAACTTTTTATATTGGCCCGCCTTCTGGTCACTCCCAATGAACATTTTTCTCGAGTAACGTAGCCCATAAATATTCCCACATTCGGTCCATAAACCGTTTTAACCGAACTGACCGCGACTACGTGACTGTCGGTTTCTGCTCTTATCGACAGGCTAAATTTGCGACAGAGCGAACGGTATGATCAACGCCATTACTTTTGGAAGGGGATGGGTGGGGGCTGGTTTATCCTATGCGTAGTATTCAGTTGTCTGACAAAATGGCGTACTCTATGGTAATGAGTGGAAGCGCTGCAGGCGATACACTGGGTCACTTTTGAGGGTGCCGCAAGTGACATTGATTATCGCCTTGTCTTCAACATGGAGTACTCTACTATTGAGGAGAATGTTGGCAGTCCATGTAGTGTAGACGGTCATTGAATTGCTTGCTGGGCTTGGAAAATTGATCGCAAATGTTTCATAACTTGCGTTTTTAGAAGGTATAGTCGAACGTAGCGATAGATTGGTACTTGTGTACGGTGTAATGTTGCGTGTAGTCATTATACGTTCAGCCAGCTGAGGAAGACCTCCGATCCCAATTGGTTGTTTAATCAGAGGTTCCTCTGTTGACCTCTGTCCTGATTGGTCGGTGACCACTGACCTTTGAGCTTGGCCTCCACTGATCTCGTTTCGTGTTGAGGTGACATCTGTCCTTAACTCCTCTGGGTTCCCGTTTGCAACTTTTGGTCGGGCGACAAGCAGTTTCTTGATTCTTTGTTTATTAATCCGATATTCTGCTCTGGTTAAGTAGTCTTGTTGGGATATATGTCCGTCACACGCAGAGGCGCGTAAATTGTAGCTCGTTTGCAGAGTGAATTTTTGACCGTCTTGTCTTTTTCATCTAAGAATATCAAGGATAGAGTGTCATGTATCCGGACAGCCGCAATGTGCTTTTTATTTGTATGCAGAGTTTCCTCCCAGTGTGCCCGATGTACAGCTTGTTCAAACCGTTGAAGTTAATCTGGTATTTCAAATTATTCCCCTTGATTAGTTTTTGGTTGTCCTCCGGTTTTGAGATCATTTCCCACCGAGTGGCGTTCGGTTTGTGGGTTATCATAATTCCATTTTGATCTGTGAATTCAGGAATATTCCTAATGTAAGGTTGAACTGACCGTCTGATCGCCTGTTCTTGCCGTTGCTCTTGTTGCGATTTCTTTATATTCAGGCATCTGTTGGCTACATTCCATGGATATCCGTTGATTTTGCCTAATTGTGTGGTGCTGCAAAGTGTGTCCACCCTTCCGGCATTATTTGAATGCATCTCTTCTTGTGGTTCAACGGAATATTGCTGTTGTAGATCAGCATTTGTTCCGTATGCGTCCATCTGCATTACCCGCACTCCTTTTGAAAGGATCTTTTCACAGTGGAAAGTTTCTTTACAAAAAAAAACAAATCTAAATACCCCAAAGCCACATTATTTTGAGTAGAAAATTGGTAATCAACCCGTTTTATATATAAGAGAAACAAAGTCTGATTTTGCCGTGTTATTACACAGTCAAAGTATGAAACAACCGCTCTGCGGTGCTATTTTACGGTAATCTGTTATCCATTACCCATAGAGAATGACCACTCACATGCGGGACCATGAATCCATTTTTTGGTGAATGCTTTTGCCAGAGGTTAGTAGTATGTAGCGGTTGTGGCAGTAGCTCCTAATTTGTATCGATTTGCGTATTAGAAAACGTAACTTGATGAACAAATCCGACTTAACATTCACTATGTGCGTCACACACTTCACATGCTACTTGAATGGCTCTGTTAATAAATGCACTGAGAAATCTCTCCAAGCCAGTGGATATAGCTGATATTGGCACTGATATTACTTCTTACCGAGGAAGGCTTATGTAATTTTTCACCAACATGGTTGAATAGCCCATGTATTCGGAGCGGTGCTGGCTACTTGTGGGGACTTGGAAACAAATAGTTACACTATCGCTTGACTCGATTTTGCGAAGTTTATCAGGTCTATGTACGCAAGTACATTGCCCAAAAGGCTGAAATTTACTGGTGAGAGGAACATAAAGCATTCACTACGAAATTAATTTCCAAAGCACACGGTTCACCTATCAGGGAATCCGTCAACCTACAATGAATCACGTGACATCAGTTCAGGATGCTTTGCACTTTATCCCAATAAGAATTCTGGGAAAGCAAGCATTTGATCTACTGAGGATAACCAACTGAAATCGCACTGTGAGGGTTGAAGCACAAACCTACCCTCAAGGTAGCGAAGGCTAGAACTGGATCTAAAATTATTCGAGGCGATTTAAGACGTCTAATCTGTCCGGTCCATTAGAGTCTGCATAGGGCCCACTTGTTCTGTAATAGGCTACAAACTGCGCGCGGTTCAAGAACCTTCCAAGATTTCATCGGTTCAGTTTAGAAATGAGCGTAGCGTTGACTTCCTGCCAATTAATCAGATACCCGGTATTACTGAATTAATTTGCAGGCACTGTACTAAATATATACTATCGCTGTTCGCATTACTATGGACATCTTTAGAAACCATGACAAAATTAAACGGAAAGTTAACATGCAAATAAAACTGTTCCAAAATATCGCGGTGGATGATACAGCTGAAAAAATGACAGTTTCTAGCTTGATTGGTTGAAATGCTGAACATAACCACCCATGTGCTGGACGTAGGTATCGCTGTTGCCTTGGTAACACTACATCTGCACACACGACCGACTGCAAAAGTTGTCCCAATTCATACCCCTGAGCATTAACCCGGACTTAAGTCTCCCTCATGAAATCCTAGGAACATAAAGTAGACATTTAGGCCTTGTTACTGGCGTTTTAGTAAATTCAAGACGGCAATACTGAATGACTGACAGAATAAACAGTACTTGTTGCAAAGATTGCCTGGTTCAAAAGCAACCTTCAGTTCGAGAGACCCTATGTTTACTCCAGTTTGTGATCCAGTTAGCTTGTAATGGCACCGTATTCTTCCAAATGACTCAAATAAATCGACGCAAATTAATCACTTTCTTCGTAGTGATCAAATTTTCTGGGTGTTAGGTAACTTGTTGGGAGTACCTAGCTTTTTAATGGTTTATATGATTTCCGAGGTCTTCCGTTACTTAACGATTAAACTGGCAGTTTGGTCGGTTTATCCTGGCAAAGTTATCGTTGGATATAATCCATCTGTTGAGATTATTCACTCAGCCGCTTGCTTATTGATTGCTGATTCTTCAACCGCAGCTTTATCATGGTTTTTGAGCCGTACCCGTAGCTTGATCAATAACAAACGTAAGGTAAAATTATCCATTTTGGAAAAAAGCCCTGTCGAAGTGGTCCTTAAGGGATCCCCCAAGATTGACCTTTTCCGATAGCTAATGTTCTCTGTGTGTGGTCTGTTATACAGAGGATAAGAAACTCCTAGTTTTATTCCGGATTTTGGGAACAATGACGCCTCCCAACATA